TCGTTCAAACTCTTTCTCTTTGGCGCGATATTCGTCAAACATTCGCCGACCTCGCTCCTGCAATTCCTTGTTTTGCGATGCGACCTCTTCTATGCGAACCAAAAGTTCATCTCGTCCTTTCTGTGCAATCGCCAGCTCACTTTTCATCCTCGTCATTTCTGTCAGATGACCCGTCGAAGTAGCCTCGATAGCTTGAGATTGCTGCCGAAAGTCTGCTGCTTCTTTGACCGCTCTCAGCTCAGCTTTTTGTGTGTTCAGAAGCTCTTCCTCTTTGACTTTCGCGGACGCTTTCAGACGAAACACTTCTTGTTCTCGGCGACGATTCTCTCCCTCGAGTTCTCGATTTCGGCGGTCGACGTCCGAAAGCTCGCGCAAAGCAACTGATAAGCGGTTTTCCAGTTTTCTGTTCTCTGCTTTCAGATCGGACAATTCGCCCTCTGCGTCTCCGAACGCAGTTGGAAATGCGATGTCATGAGATAACTGCGTTTGCTGCTCCAGAAAATTATCGGAGACGGATTGAGACAAGACATCCACGATATCATCCAGGTCAGATGCCGACATGGTAGAAGATGAAAGCTCTGGTGGAATTACTGTAGACACATTTGTCCAACCATGCTCGGACTCGTCAAGGGACTCGGGGTTGACACCGTCGTACAGACGCTCACCTCCTACTATGTGCTCCTCCGCTGCGTCTACAGACGAGACTTTCGTTGGTGTAGTAGTCGCTGCATCTAGAACACCAGCACTAGTAACCTCCGCCACTGAAGCTGCCGCTTTCAGATTTTGTACAAGGTCGTTATTCGTCGGAGCTAGTCCTGATTCGGACACATCTTCCTTGAGTTTGCGTGAGAAGGACCGAAGCTTGGGTGCTCCAATGAACAGCCCAACCATGGACCATGGTGAAGCAGTCCTCGACATTGGAGTGGATGAGGACGACTGCGTGCTGTCATCCCTCTACTCACTGTGGAGCTATATCAAAGGTCACGCACATGTGCACATCGTGCCCTTCCTGGAATCCGATCAACCTCGTGTACAACGGATTAAGAGGTCGTGTCGCGCAGCACTCCGAAAAAGAGTTACATATGTATTTGCAATACTCTTGTGAAACGGCACACCTGATTCTCGAGTGTAATGATACGGAACTTCTTAATTATCGAAAGTGTATACCGACCACTCGGTGTAGTGCAAGCCGTGGACAGCATCAATGTAAACAGACGTCGCATCACGACTGGTCCTGCGTACAAGCTTCAGATGTCACCGTCATATATACTCATATATGCTTTCGTGACGTTCCTTGTGAAGCCTCCCGTGTTTCATTGAGATCATAACACGGAATCAGAAGCAAGGGAAGATTCTCAAATTAGAAAGGATATGCATACAACAGCTTAGAATGAAATGCGTCGAGTACACTGCATTCACGAACTCCAACCCGTGGTATACCGCCAAGGAGAGATGATGGCATATCGTATTTGCAACGACAACTTGCCTCAAGTGCGAATATCGATATGGAGTCTCTAGTCAAGCTAGTCAAGGCTGGAGACGTCGCACAGGGTAAATATGATCACGTGCAACATTTTTCGCTGTGAAGAAACCACTTGCCTTCTAACTTTCGCACAATGCCAAAAGAAAAGGTTGAAAGTAACAAGTCGACCAGGAGCCAGCCTCAAGCATCTTCGAACTGGCTCGCACTACAAAAAGTATGGGCTGTGGTACTATCGTCTTCAAATGCGAATGTCAACGTCACTTTACAGACTTTAGGAACAAAGAATACATCAACGCATGACTTTGGCGTGGAACGAACGCGGAAACGACGAAAGCTTGAACATGCTCCATCCTCTTCAGTCGGAGTACCCCGAAAATGTCTTGCATCGTCAGTACCAAATCAAAAGGAAGAGTCAGTGCCAGAGCAAGACGATCTCAGAAATGGAGAATCTCTATCTGAGCTACGACGAATGATCGCAGGGAAATCCACGTTCAGCGACCAACAAAAATTGTGAGTATTGCTCTCACATTTGTATTGTGAATAACCCATCATACTTTCAGCTCATCATATTCGAATTTCCTAGACCAGGGAAATACCTCGCTCTCGATTGTGAGATGGTTGGTGTAGGCATTGATGGTACAGAGTCCTCGCTGGCACGAGTCAGTCTCGTTAACTTCTACGGAGCTATTCAACTGGACGAATTTGTCCGGCAACGAGAACGTGTCGTCGATTATCGGACTCGATATAGTGGGATTCGGGAGACAGACATGATCAAAGGTACGTGAAGGAGCCTCGAGTCCTTGCCCTCTTCTCGAACTGGTATATTCGATTCGATTCAATCTAACAGCTAAACCGTTCGACGATGTACAGAAGAAAGTTGCAGAACTTTTGAAGGATCGTATATTGGTTGGACATGCCGTTTACAACGATCTCAAAGTGTGTCAATCGTCTTATCATGTTGTGGTGTATCCTGACTATAGTCGACCAGGCCCTTCTCCTTTCGCATCCACGACCAATGATACGCGATACGCAGTACTATGCAGGGAAGTACAAAGTAGTCAAAAGTAAATATGTGGCACTTCGTAATCTCGTCAAGCAAGAACTCGATGTTGTCATCCAGGGTGGAGAACATTCTAGTGTGAGCCATCGTTTTATTATTGAAACCCACTGGCTAAAGAGTTGCACAGGTTACTGATGCTCGTGCTACGATGGCGGTCTTTCGTATACACAGAAAAGAATGGGAAAAGGGAAATAAGCCATTGCCGCAAACGAAAAAGCGGAAACGTACGGAAGGGACGGCGGACGACGGCGATGAGAAGGAGGGCAAGGATGAGACGCAGGCAGAGACAAGCTTATCAACTTTTCCTGGAGGTGGAAGGAAAGGAGTAAGTTCGGGCCTCACTACTATAGTGAGGCGTGGCTCTGGAGCAGCGGGAGGTGAGAAGAAAAAATGGTGGAAGGAGGATTCCATGAGAATGTAATCCACCTCATTTCAAGGATCGATGATGATTGTGTCCGCTGAGCCTTTCCACTTGAATGAAGATCATGAGAAAACTCCTGAGACCATGTTACTTTATGCACGGAATCCTCCTGGCCAAGAGTGGCTTGTCGTGAACAGTAAAATAAATATTGAGACCCGTAGGTCTACCACTCCGGGAAAGCGTGTCATCCTTGTGCAGGGGCCATGCTAATCTTCTCTGTATCGTTCCAATTTTTTCGTATGTCACCCCGAAGGGGACAATTACAAGTTGTGTAATTGTTGATAGGACAAATAACATTTTGCTTTTTGTTCAACCAACGGGCAAGTTTGCCAGCGAGTCCATATCACTCGAGCAATACCCGAGGCGTTTCAGCTCAAATGCTGTATCCTTTTTCGCTCTATCACAGTAGAACATGCTGTTTTCTGTATTGATCTTCGGCCGAGATCCCTGTGAGATGGCGTACTTCTGTGACTCATTCTTGGTGGAGCACATACTGCGGAACCTCAAAAATATGCTGTTCTTGTTGGACATTCCAAGTTCACGTGGTTGCGTCAAGTACCTACTGCTCTGATTGCCTTTCTGTGTGGACCCGAGACTGATCGAGATGTCCTTCTCAGCAAAACAAATCATCAACTGTGGCGCCACTGCCTCCCCGAAACCGCATCTTTGGTTTGTATGACCTTAACGACAGCTGCTCCTCCGATGACCGTATTCTACATACCTAATATTATGGAGCAAAAGAATTCATCCGTCCATAATGTTCATTCGATGATGTTTTGTCAGAGTTATTACAGCGTTTGCGGACTTGTGCAGATATCAAGCTCTAGTTCAAGAGACCACGTTTTTGTATGCTTGTTGGAGTCTCTGGTTTTCTGTATCTCGCTGCTTGAGTTCTGCCGTCAGAGTCGCATTCTTCATACGAGCATCTTCCAAACTCGAGGACCTCTCCCTCGACTCCTTCTTTCCGTCCATTCCCTCTTTCACCTCCGCTGATGCAGATCTAAATTCCCTCCTGCGGAGACTTTCCTTGCCTTCTTCCAACTCACGACGTATGTCAAGTATTTCCGACTTCATCAGCTCATAACCTCTCTGTAGGTGATCAATGTGATCCAAGTGTTGGCGAATGTGTGCGAAGATGAAAGCGGTGCCGAAAGTTACGGCAAGACCTGACAATTCACCTTATGTCAAAGTATGTCAAGCTAAAACTCGAAGCCATCGTACCGCAGATTGAGCCAAAGATGAAACCAAGGGAAGAAAAATTTAGCTGGAGTGACATTGCGGATGGGGAACGCTTTCTTAACGTATATCAGGGGGTGCTTCATAAGGCTTTCGCCATGAGGCGTCCAACGAGTTAAGACCTCTCGTGATGATGCTGAAGGTTGCTCATTACCTGACTTTAAAAAGTTGAGTCCCAATCGCTTCCATCCACCCATGTAGAACTAGACTTATATGCTGCGTGCTGCGACGACTGCTGAACGACTGCGCGTCTGTGAGAAGAGAAATCTATATGAGGTCCGCCCTAGACAACCACATGTCCTCATCAATAGTTTCTTTCCTCTTCTACCAGTGTATTTCTTTGAATATTCTGTTTCAAGATAGTCCTCGAGATGCGATCACGCAGATCACGGAGATTGAAAAAAATAACTCCTCAATCAAAAAAAACGACATGGACAGACCGGGATTGAACCGGGCACCTCAAATCCGTTGGCCACTTGATTTGGATTACTAAGCTCCCAATTTGGACGTTGGATTACTAAGCGTTCGCATAATCGAAGACGGAGCGCGGAGCTACCAAACGGTGTTTCGCCTAGCATAGCGCCTCGCTGGATCATGATGGAAGACATTCACGAAACGTGTCTGGTAGGACATCCTTCGGCCGCTGTGAACTTCGAGTCCCTGCCTCCTCGTACAGCCTGAGATGCAGACGAAAAATTTTCCTTTTCTTTGTCTTTCCCCCAGGAAATCCGAGTTTACGATTTTTGGTGCGGACGCTTCGTGGTGCACAATAAAAAAAAACAACGCACTTACTTTGCTTATGGACGCACCCAGAAATGAACTGGGGACCGTCCGCAAGCTACTCATGCTAAGCGGGCGTGATAACAAACTACACCATGTGCCCCTGATTTTCCTATAAACTATTACCGCCTTGCATAAGACAGTTTGGTCCTCAGCTTGTTGTTTTATTTTTTTTTCAAATTTACATATAATGGTGGTACTCTTTCTATGTTTTTGGGTCCGAAGGTGTTCTTAGGACCAAGAACGATGAACATGCCGGACATGTCTCCACAAGGGATCTGTCTCCTCTTCGATGGATTATGATAGAAGTCAAAAAACCTGGCACAGGCCTAGGCTCTTATCAACTCATCGGTGAATCGATTACTCAGTACTTGTTGACTCTTCACAAAGGCAAGGGCGTCTCAAACCTTCGCCTATGTGCTATGCACTGAGGTACTTCCTTTGCCTCTCTTCTGGTCTTCTGGTGCATCTAATACCCTCACCTGACCACCGTTGATCGGAACGCCGATGTCACCATACTTCATATGTAGGGTGTCTAATGTGAATCGTAGATTCTTTGAAAGATAAGGCTCGAAGTTCTCAGGGTCCCTAACAGCAGCATGATGAGCGCGTGGGCTTGCAGATATTATATCTTTCATGAAGTGGACGTCTTGATCATTCGCACATCCTATTGAGCCTATCAAACATTTATATTGTGCAGATAATGTCGTCCAGAGGTCCTTATGGTGGGAACACCCGTAAACTTGTGCTTGCTTTCGACGTTGGGACCACTTACAGTGGGATATCCTATAGGTTCGCTGGTTTACTCCCATCTGGACTTGAACTAACGTTGGTCTAGCATCTTGGAACCTGGAGAAGTGCCCAAGATTATAGGAGTGACGAGGTACGATTAGCCTTGATCCGTTCTCGACTATTCTCGTGATTTTATCAGATTTCCTGCCCAAGATAGCTATAGCGGCTCCCGCAAAATACCCAGCTTGATATACTACGACAAGAGTGGCAAAGTTCGGGCCGTTGGGGCTGAGGCCACGCGGGACGCGCTACAAGACGCCATCGAAGAAGAAGGTTTGGTCAAAGCTGAATGGCACGTCCTATGCTTCATCTATCTGTCAGCCCTTTGAGACGTGTAAGACAGGTTTAAACTTCATATGCGACCCAAGAGTATATCAGGGCATAACTCTATCTCCGACATCCCACCACTCCCAGCTGGCAAGGATGTGGTCGACATATTCTCTGATTACTATCGATATCTCTATATGTGCGCCAAGGACTATATTTCAGAATCTAATGCCCATTCACCCACTCTATGGACTTCTGTTGAGAGTAGTATTGAGTATGTACTCACTCATCCCAATGGATGGGAAGGCGTCCATCAACAACAGCTGCGTCGCGCAGCCATCAAAGCTGGTCTGGTGCCTAACAATGATGAGGCCCATGCGCGTATCCGATTCGTCACCGAAGGCGAAGCCAGTCTACAATTCTGTATCTGTAATGGACTGACCACAGAGGCTCTGAAGGTTTGCGCTCGTCCTCATATCTAAGGTGAATATTGATGTATAACTTTCTAGAAAGGTGGTGGTGTACTAATTATTGATGCTGGAGGAGGCACCATCGATATGTGCGTTTATGGTGAAGCCCAAAAGAGGAAAGATGCGTTCGAAGAGCTTGCTTCCCCCGAGTGTAGGATCGGATCGTTTGCCTCGATTTTTTATGGTTCTCCCTGACGACCTCATAGGCTACCTACAAGGGTCTCTCTATGTGACTCTTCGCGCTAAAGCTTTCCTTCAGGGTACAGACTGTTACGTTTATGAATTGACTCTCATGCCATGCTCATCCGTGTGTATATCTAGACTTTGTCAAAGGTACTAAGTTTGCGGACGACGTTGAAGCTATGACCGCCTACTTTGACAAGTTCGCGAAGCAGACTTTTGATGGGAACGATCTCTTCTTAAAGTTTGGCAGTGCCCGTGACACAGACTCGAAGCTTAGGATCCGGGGGGGTAGACTTACACTCCTCGGGTGATCTATCTTCGTTATCATTATCAATATGACAAGATACTCATATTGTGGTGCACATAGGGAGGACGTAGAGGGATTCTTTGAGCCCTCAATTTCATGTATTGCCCGAGCGATCGAAATGCAATGCACAGCTGTTCGCAAGCCCGTCTCTGTATGTCTTGTGATGTCTATGACCTCTTAATTGCCTTCCTCATCCACACCTGATAGGCTGTATTCTTGGTCGGGGGATTTTCTGCTAGTAACTATCTCTTCAGCAAACTGAAAGAAGCAGCGAAGCGCCTGGATATCAACCTCTGCCGGCCGCATAGTAATCCGTGAGTATCTACTGATTGATTCTCGCATGGTCGACTTTGACTGTAGAGACAGTAACGGGGCTGTGGCGGACGGGGCCGTGTCCTTCTACCTCGATCATTCAGTTTGCGTCCGGGTTTCGAGATATATATATGGGACAACATGCTACGTCAAATTCAATGCGAACAATCCAGAGCACAGAACACGCTCGTCCGTCATTTTCGACCTGACGGAACGTCAAGTTTACCTTCCTGACGCATTTGATATCATCTTAAACAAGGTAAGCCAAAAAAAAGTTCCATCTAATAATCAATTAAGCTTCTACCACAGGATGTACAGGTGTCGGAGACCCAGGAGTTCCGAAGCAGCTATTATCGGTCCGCAAAGGACCAGTCTGACCTCGGCGAACAAATAGCGATTATTTACCGTTATCGTGGGACTGGAAGACCTCGCTGGTTTCAGAATGACGGTGTGTAGCTCTAGGGTTGTCCTATCAATCTCTTAAGGTTTCCTTCTTGTTAGGTCTCTTTACCAGATTATGTACCGTGGAAGCGGATACATCAACGATTTCAAAGAATTTGAGTCCACAACCCAGCCTTAACATTTTTGGTCGTCTTCAATCCGAGCAATACTTTAAATTGGCCTTCGATATCGTTTTGTCCTTCGGCCTTACCGAGTTGAAAGCACAGATCGCCTGGAAGGAAGGTGTAAGTGCTATTGATTTTGTTGATCTGCAAAAGGCAAATCTGATAAATGCTCGTTAGGGTGTTGAGAAGAGGTGATTTCAACTTTTCTAACTGGTTCTCGCAATCTGAAACACTGATTCTGTTACTCAGGAGCCCAGCAAGGATCGTTTATGATGTTGCCGATGACGATCCCGAATGATTTTTTCAGATCGGCAGTTTGACTCCTATAGTTTATCTGTCCCCATCGGCACCACCATCTCTGTGTTCTTTACTTTTTGAACATAGTACTTCTGTCTACTTTCGCTGTTGGGTGTTTTTGACCTTGACTTCGGATGTTGTTTCACCCGTAGATTCACCATGTGAAGACGACAATCTTGCAAGCTGTACTGCACGTCGCGCAGACTCGGTCAGCCTCATCGTTGTAGATTAGTTTAGCCACTTGTTTGATAGATAGTAAGTTGTTCATCTATAACAGGTTAGAAGTATCGTATTAAACCTAATCTTTTGTTCAACTGCGGGTGGCATGAGGCTGTGTAGTACCATTCCTTCCAAGATCACAGAAGGACAACATTGATTAGACTTGAGCTGATCCCAGATTCTTGAGTTTTCTTCACAGGACCTGATGAAATCTGTCCCTTCTCTTAATTTGTAATTCCACATGGACGACCCCATGGCTCCTTGGTAGCTCAAAGATACCAACGATTTGCTCATAACTAACAGCAAGGAAATGTCCGCGCTACACTCCCAGCCAGATCAGTTTACGGTCATCATCCGAGCCACTGCTGCAACCCAAGAAGGCCTTCGCTTTCATAAGATAAGACATGTCTTTTTCCTAGCCAGTGTATCTGTACGTATATGCTCTTAGCTAATACATCACGTTCCTTGTGTCTACTCACGATCCATCCTGAAATCGGGAATGGGAAATGAGAAGATGCGACAACGTGTAGACCGGGCCGATCCCGGCAGTTTTTCCCGATCAACCATTATTTCAGAACAATGTCCGCCTAGGGTTCGCGCGTTTGCTCAAGGGCCCAACATCGTCGAGTAGGAACATTCGACCGCAAGTATCAATTGATTTTCCCCTCCGACTTGCGGACGGAAAGTAGTGCAGAACGAAGGACTACTTTGGGTTTGAGAAGAATCGTCCCATGTATGCTACCTTCCAGATTGTTGACTTTCTGCTCCAAACCTAATTCAGTTGTAGCAAGGACTTTATCTGATTTAGATACGGTATCCCCAGCTTCGGCCGCATAACAATTCGTCATGGTCTCAGGACAGAAGTTTGATTTGCGACCAACCGTCACGGGCAAGATGTCCATGTGCGTTATGCTTCCAACAGCGTCCTGGAGCTTCAGAACACTGTCGACGACACTGTTAATATTCCCTTTGAATTGTCTGAGGAATGCACTTGAATCATGTTCCAGGTATCCGGCAACTTTCAATATATCGATGATCGTGTTTAACAGAGCGTCGATTTTTTCTTTTCTATGTGTCGGTATCGATCCTTGTGATCGTTGCGTCACAGAACGCCAAGATCCTGCGACCCCTTGAGTTTCTGCGAGGACAGAGGTGAGTGACGTGTGGAGAACAAACGAAGATCGACAGTTGTACACACCTTTACTCAAGATTCGTCGGTAGATTTGATCCATAATCCTGTGTTCCTCGTCTTTCGGGGACCAGGATCGCACCACATTGGCCCCAAAGGTTACCATGCAAACCTGCAAGGAAATCTGGAGAAGAAAGCATTCGCTCGAACGATCTTCTCGTTCTTGTAACAAGTCCCGTAGCAAGTGGGAGCCCAGGGACATCGATGCCTGTTTATATTCACCTTGATAGGTCCTAGTCTGGTGCCGTCGACGCCTGTGTTTTGAAAAACCTAGACTTTCTGCGATATACGCCGCCACCTGGAAAACCTTGTCGTTGAAAGAATTCGCCAGGCTTATTATGTCGGCAACGGATAAGGGTTCAGTGACATTCATGAAGGAAGTGGCTGCGTCTAGTTCTTTGCTCTTCTCATCGAGCGCCACTTCGAGTTCAGATATCCGCTTCTCTGACTCGCATAGTCTTCCCTCCATCTGTCCCAGCCGCTCCATCAGGGTTTCAAAAG